CTAGGACAAAAAATTCAGTGAAATTTGTTCTAAATTGGAACAGTACAGTACAAACTGTGGTTCAATGTGAGATTCTGGAAATTTGTGTCAAGACTTCATCTGACGTCATCATCATCCATCTTGGAACCAAACTGACATTCAAACTAGATTCAGTTATTTATTAATAGGATCCATATACTTTCACAATTCTAGGATTTTTCTCAAACCGTATTTCCTGCTTTTATATTCACCTTTTCACCGTGTTTACTAGGGAAATAATTATCTTTGTTCAAACATACAAAGCTTCTTGTCTCCACTATTTTCTTTTGTTACTTTGAAAAAGCTGATCCTAACTACACACACACACTCACACATACACACACATACACAAACTCATATATATATATATATATATATATATATATATATATATATATATATATATATATATATATATATATATATATATATATATAATGTCCAATTCTGATAGCGTTAATGGACTATACCTACATTATCGGATTCAGCACAGTATATGAGATAGAGAATACAATTATCTAATTTGAGAATTCGCCAGATGTTACCAAGCGAATTAATTTTGAGTTAATTCATTTGTCATTGTTTCGTTAGTTAGCTGTATATATAGCAAGTTAACAAACATTTATATTAGTTACGAAATTTATGTAAACTTCTTACACAAAATACCGAATCTGACATCGTACAATTCATGTAGACGTCAGGGTCATTCATTACATAGGTGTAACGAAATTCCATTTCCGATAAATGATAAACGAATTCTTCGTCCGATATGTTATGAAGATACGCACCAAGCATAATATCAAAATTATCGATAACATGCGACCAAAATAGATCCCTCATTATATGGTTGTTTGCACAGGATTTATGCTTATGAGCAAAAACACCAGTATGCACAGTATTGCAATATCGGGAATTATGAAGTATCAGGCTTAATGGGGTTAACAAAAACCTGAAAAAGTTATGACCAGTTTATTCTTATTGTTTGACCTAGGTATTTGCAACAAATTTTCGGTTTTACACTTAATGATGTACATTTTTCAATCTTTGAAAACATGGATGGTTAAAGCACATGTGCTTAAAGCGATTATTTTCATATTCATATCTGGTGTTTTAGAAGCTGGTATGGTCTATTCTGGCAAAATTCATTTTCCATGTTTTAATACCTAGCAAGGATAGTGTACCTTAGAAAAATTCAGGCTGATTTTTTGAGCACAAGGGAAAATTCATTTTAGATATTTTCTAAGATCGTTTACAATTTCCAAAAGTACAATATCCAAAGAAATGTTAGATATCATGAAAATAAAATAGAGGCATGCCAACATTCTGTCCACTGTGCATGTTTTAGATGCAAACAAACTCACATTACATACATCACTTTCTCAAAAGTACATAATAACTAGTGTGCGCCACCTAAAGGACTGTAGTGATTTTCTTCATTCTGTATATGACTTTACCACTTTTGTTACGAAGATCAGAAACGGCCCTAAGATGTGCGAGTCAGCTGGGCCCAAAGCAAAAAAATTGTATTGCAGAGTTGATTTTCGTCAGCGATGCGCGACCCCAAAAAGCGCGAGGCTCGTGGTGTTTGCCTCATTCGCGTTAACCTAGGAGCGGGCCTGAGGAAGATCATGTCAGTGCCAATAGGCATACGTAAGTGTATGGAAGTTAAGGAAATCGAAACAAAGTTTAGCCAATTCCCCATACAAAAGTGCAATCTTTCGTCTGTCTGATTAGATTGAGCATATTGCGAAATCAGCCTACATCTAAGATCACGGATAATTTCAGCTGCCTGCAAAGAGCTCTTCGAGATTACTAAGAAGCTTATGTCAATGAACACCAAATCTAGATATTTTTCCTCCAGACGACCTTCCGGAAGTGTTTGTAAATTTATGTCGTGACAAAGTACAAGCTATTAGAGATAAGCTTGACAACCAGCTTATTTAAAATGGCTTGTCACCATACAGTTGCGATACAGAATTTCAAATGCCACTGTTACCAGCATTTGGAACTGCTTCTATGGATTTAGTGCGTACAAGCGTGATGAAGAGTGCATGAAATTTAGGTTAATTTGATCTGATTCCGACATCACTGCTGCTTAAGTGCTTAGATTCAATATTGCCCTCACTAACTGATGTTATTAGCACATCTTTCTCATCCGGGGAATTCTCATCAGTTTTCAAAATTGTCATTGTAACGCCTCTGTTGATGAAACCAACACTCGACAATAACGATTTAAAGAACTGCCTCCCAGTTTATAATCTCAATTTATGTCGAAAATCTTAGAAAAAGTTGTTATATCCCAACTAGGATCTCATCTGAATTCAAACACTCTTTTTAGCGAAGTACAGTCTGCATATCGCCCTTGCCACAGTACCGAAAGTACTCTTCTGAAAGTAGTCAATGACCTTCTCTCTGCTTTGGATGGCAGAAAGAGTACACTCCTCACCCTCATTTACTTGTCTGCAAATTTGACTAAATAAACCGTGATATATTATTCTACCATCTTCGGCATGTATTTGTCATTCACGATACAGTCTTACTATGGTTCAAGTCCTACTTGGTGAACAGGACACAAATTCTGTCCGCAAATGGAATACACTCCAGTCCAGTTGATCTATGTTGTAGTGTTCCAGAAGGGTCTGTTCTTGGAAATGTTCTCTTCATTCGATACACTCAGTAGCTCTAACGTGTCAAAGATCAGGGGCCCCGAGTGGCTGAATGGTCTAAAGTGCTCTCCGTTACTGATCACTACCATCTCACCTCTATCTGCGTGAGTTCTAGTCTAGGATTCGGCGAATGTGGATATGTGAGAAAGCTTGCCAGTAGCTTTTCGTGGGTCGATGGTTCTTTCCGGTGATTTCCCGGTTTCTTCCTCAACCATTAATACTGGCCGCCATGAATAGCCTATCGTGTGTTGAAAAATGACGTTAAGCCCAACAACAACAACAACAACAACAGTGTCATACATCATCATCAAGTTTCTCACTATTTGTATGATAATGACACCCAAATGTAAACATCAAGCCACCCAACTGAAGATCCAAATTTTTATGAGGTGTGTAATCATGGATTGCATGTAACAAGCTGCAGATGAATGGTTATAAAACTAAAGCCATTCTGATTAAAACACAAAGACTTTCTCATTCACATCATTTACCTCAAGCAATGAAAATATCAGCAACATCAACATTAAATTAAAACTGTCAGTATGAAACCTAGGTGTTACCCTCAACAGTGCATTCGCATTGCACCAACATGTCATGAATAAGGCTGCATATCTTGAGTTGAGACGCATCAGCTCCATTTGCAATTATTTATCAGTTGGTGCCCCTACAATCTTGTACGATGAGAGCAAATCTCCCCCTGCTCTTTACTCTACACTGGATATTCATTCAATCTAGAATTTAATAAATAATGTTTCCTGTATTACTCTTCACTGACGAGCTCCAGCCAAACATACCTATCCGACCTCACACATGTGTACACACGAGCAAGATATATACGACCCACTTCTGATAAACTGATTCACATTATTACCACTATGCAAATCAGTTCATATGGACAAAGTTATTTTGCATACCAGTGCTCAGCAATGTAGAATGAATTGTCCACTGAACTTGGATACAAACACACGGTGATCTCATTCAAGAGCGCTCTTAAAATTCGCATATTTCGAATGCTAGGACAGACTTAAAGACCTAATATTGTTTCCTTACCTTAAATATTTTCACATCGTTTTCTGATTCATAATTTCATAGTGTTTGTCATTTGTAATTATCTCATTATATGTTTGTCTAATGTTGTAAAGCACTTAGAACTTCTGCATATTAAGCACTATACAAAGTCCTCATTATTAATATTGAAAAGCATCTCTTATGTTCATTGATTCTAAAATTCCAGTTTACTGTGTACAAATTAGCGATACTAATAATTGATTGCAAAATGAGCAGGGGTTCTGGTTATTAGGGTCGTATCATCAGCTAACATCGCGTTTCCAGAGATGTAATTGATCCTACGGTTATCTCTAATGTGGAATCTTCAAATATCTTTAACAAATCATTGATATATACCAGACGTAGAAGATTGATAAGTGCTCAACCTTGTTGGACACAGTTTGATTGGTATAGATTTAGTGCCATTTATTATTATAATGATATAATTCTACATTAGAGTACGATTTTACAGGTTTAGCAAGGAGCTTTTGTCTGAAATTCCAAACAGGAAAAGCTTTATGAAAAGGCCCTCGTACTATATAGGGTCAAACACCGTCCTTATGTCCGACAATGTGGCATAGACTCTTGACTCTAATTCCAGGTAAGCAATGACAGATTTGAGTAAGTTAAACGATGTAGTTATGCAGCTCAATCCATTTGGAAATCCCTGAAGTTTAGTATTAAGAAATTTTAGCATTCTTAGCATTTTTGTTTTGTATCATGAATTAAGTCTAAGATATAAAAATTTTCTAAATAGTTATTATTTAGAAAGCAGGCAGTATATAACTCTGTGGTTAATCTTGTTATTTTCACACATTCCTCCGCCATTTTAGAACAGCACGATTTTGTCGACATTCCATTAAAATGGTATATAATATTTGTTTTGTATCGCACTGAATAAGTATGTAGTAACTTCTATCCGTCTTCTGTCACAATATCTTATATGCTCGTACTTTACCATACATAGCTTAAGTTGTTTAATGCATGATGCCATTTCATAAAATATAAAATCTGTATTCAGAAAGGAATATTTAAAATCGGTTCCTTTATTCATCGTAGGGATAATGAATGAATGTTGGTGTTGTTGTTGTTGTTGTTGTTATAGGGTTTAACGCCATTTTTCAGCAAACAATACGCTTTACATGGCGGCCAATAGATGGTGATGGAAGAACCCAGGAAAACCCCGAAAAGGGCCACAAAGCCAGCAAGAAGCTACTGGCATGTTTTCTCACATACCTACATTGGTCGAGCTCGAGAATTGAACCCACGCTTACGGAGGCCTAGTGGTTATAGCTTCCGCCTCGAATGCGGGAGGTCGTGGGTTCCATCACCGGTCGAGTCATACTAAAGACTTACAAAATTTGTACTAAAAACTGCCTCGCTTGACGCTCAGCATCAAGAGGCTAGTGTTAGGACTTGTCGGCCTGTTGTCAGGATAATGTGACTGGGTGGGACATCATGCTTCATGTCTGAGGCATTATTCCCCAGTGCTAGACATCACTATAAACTGTCACCCTGCATACATCGTAGCAATATGACTGAGAAATTATTAAAGCTACGATAAAAACCATCATCACGTCACATCACGCAGTGATCCTTAACGGTGGGCGCTTTTGACCACTCATTCACTCGGGTCCCCCAATGAAGTACTAAAAAATGTATTCTCGGGGGTGTATAGATGTTTAAACTATATGGCAAATAAGTTAGTTATCTCATATGGATAGGATGCTGATTCTCCATCAAATTTTAGATAGGTACAGCTTTAAGAGTTTCTGCATCTATTACGTTGTTTAATGTACAATTTCATGAAAAGTCTAATATCTAACTCTTATACTTCAACTGTAATATTAAACATGCTTTTTCATTAACATTCATAGGTATTTTTTGAAATTATTATAATTTTTTTCTTTTCCTTTTATTATTTGTTGGTGAAATATCTAGTTCCCTGGGTCTCCCATTTACAATATATACATCCCTCTAAACTGTCTAGACCTTATATGTATGTATGTATGTATGTATGTATGTATGTATGTATGTATGTATGTATGTATGTATGTATGTATGTATGTATGTATGTATGTATGTATGTATGTATGTATGTATGTATGTATGTATGTATGTATGTATGTATGTATGTATGTATGTATGTATGTATGTATGTATGTATGTGTGTCTGTGTATGTATGTATGTATGTATGTATGTATGTATGTATGTATGTATGTATGTATGTATGTATGTATGTATGTATGTATGTATGTATGTATGTATGTATGTATGTGTTTGTGTCTTTACAACAAAGTTCTAACTATGATTAAGCTTAGCAATGCATTTAGAACGGTTATGCATTAAATCCTGAGGCTTTTCGGCAAACATTCAGAAACTATAAGAAATATGCTAGACAAACTATATGTTGAATTTGCTAGAGGAAAGGAACAGTTATTCATGAGATAGTGTTTAGCCAAGAAAATCCAACATAATTTTGAAAGTCTTAAACAAATAGCATTACTTAAAGAGTTCAAGAGCTGTGTCCATTGTGACATTAAAAATCATCTCGATGAGCGTAAGTTTGGAAAATGCTGCAGTTGCTGCTGATGAGTATTGATAACTCATAAAGTTCCTGCTGTAAGCAAACTTATCACTCAGCAGTCTAGTGATAGAAAGGTGTTTCAATCAAATGTGACTCTTAGTAAAAATTATATGTTGTCAATTTAGACATCGCTCCATTGACAAAAGGTAGAAGCTTTTATGAGGATCAACGTACAAGTGCATATTTTTCTTGAGAACATACAGTTTTGCGAGTTATCTTTTATTACTATATTTTTACGGAATCATAGAGAAATGTATTATTCTTTTTATAAAAGGCTTGGGAATATCAATGCATCTCCATTTTCTGAAAATCCAGGACACGAAACATAAGAATAAACAAAAATTAGCTGAACGTCAAAAATTATTCTTAACCAGATTTAAAAGCCTGTTTGTATTGGGTGTTCTTCATTTTCCAGATCTTCTTTATATACAAACTAAGATCAAACAGGAAAATTTTTCACAGTAGAATGAAGCTAAATGGCCATATTTTCATTTGATGTGCGTGAACACCAAACTCCATGACCGTCTTATGATTCCAGATAAGTGGGGCTATCATATAAAACCAGGTCAATGCAAGATAAACACGGTAAACAAGATAATAAATGTTTTCAAGGTTTCTTGAGAAAATAAAAGCTTTATGCTAAAACAGTCTACGACGTTTGAGGTTTATAAACACAAATATAGACCAACGATTTAATTTCTTGATAGTGTTTGTTCCAAGAGCACATTCCTGTAATGTGTAACCTAGATATCGTTTCCTGCCAATTTAAAGCGTTTACGTTACTTCAGACGTGACAAACATCACGTAGGCTCTCTCTCTCTCTCTCTCTCTCTCTCTCTCTCTCTCTCTCTCTCTCTCTCTCTCTCTCTCTCTCTCTCTCTATATATATATATATATATATATATATATATATATATATATATATATATATATATATATATATGTATGGTCTAGGAGCACCTGCTTACTTGTGTAATCAATCATATTACTTAGTTTCAAGAAATGCCTCTGAAAAGGACTTACATATTTGTAATGCATTAAATGGTGATGAAAGGCAGTATTCAAGTGAAACACTACCAAAACCTAAAACATAAATATATATATATATATATATATATATATATATATATATATATATATATATATATATATATATATATATATATATATATATATATATATATGTATATATATATATATATATATATATATATATATATATATATATATATATATATATATATATATATATATATATATATATATATATATATATATAACACAAATATGTTTTATATGCTGGATTTTATATTCCCAATCTAGCGATTCAGCAAGAAATGGATAGCATAATTTATAAATATTTAGTGTGGTGGAAAATAGTTTTTTGTATTTAGTAATGTTGCATAATATAACGTTTGCTTTAAATCCGAATCAATAGCAGTGAATTAAATTAAACTGAATTGAATGGATTCCAGTAATTGTATTACAAGTATAGTTTCCGTCTATTTGATAACAAAGACATAAACTTTGTTGACTTGTCTTTCTTTTATAACTATCGATTAACTTATTAACGTGGTTTCCTAAGTTCCTCAATAAAGAATTCCATGGAAATTGGAATGTATGACGCTATTAAGATTAACAGCTTTCTACTATCTCCGAATTCAACTCCTATTTATACTCTTTATCATTTAGTCATGTGACTTAATACTGACCAATCTTATTTAGACCTGGACGCTGAGCAGGTCCGATTGTGCCGAACAGATACTGTATAACCACTGACACAAACTGAGAGTTATCATATAATTTAACAATCATCATTTGTCCGTTTCATTCAATCCGTAGTAAATATATAAACATTTTGTAAAATACAAGTATGATTCGAAATGTTTGCGCATTTACTCTTTTAAAATTGAATATAAATTTTTCTTTCAAAATTTAACAATTTAACAATAATTCTTTTAACCCACGTCTAATCAGTCATGATTATTGAATGATTTGCACCTTAATTGTCACCAAGGAACTTCCGGACGAAAATTATCTATCGATATGGATTGGTACAGTGATGGAGATGTAATAAGAATAGAAAGGGAAATAGTGACTTCTATCCCCAGGACATCTCCCAAACCTCCAAAGAAATATAAATTAGCATCTCGGACACACACCAAACTCTATCCCAAAACGACTTTCATATTTTTAGCTAGAAGATTTATAGTCCAAATATAATCCAAGACCTTTACCTACCTCCAATCAAATATAAATAACCATCTCAGAGACTCACCAACCCCAATCCCAAAACGACTTCCGGTGCTTAGCTAGGCGATTTCTAGCTAAGATATTAACCCAGGATCTGTAGCAATTCGTCAGAGTCAAATTTTGAAACATTATTTTTTTTTGTTCACACGAAATGTCATATTCTACACCTACAGACTCACTTTGGTAGGATATCAGTTAACATAGTGTCAAATAATGCGAACTTTACGTATTATATCGTCCATGTCATATTTTACACATGGCAAGTAAGATCTGGTTCAATTCTTTCCTACACGCTATTGAAAGATTTGACGGATTTAATGATGCTCCACTTGAAATTATACCAGAGGCGGCTATTAACAATGGTAAATATGATATTATCAGAAGTATTTTGTTATAGTATTTGTAACGTTTTTTCACATACCAAAGTCTTTATGATAATGTCTGTAATATTGCTTAGAGCGTCCACATCTTGTTTTTGAATTTTAATTGAAATTTTATTAAAATCAACTATACATTTTCATTATATAATATTTGTTTACAGATTTTATACAACGCTGCTATTTCCTGAGATCAGTAAGTAATTAATTGTCGTGTTTAAGCTACAAATTTCACCACAAATAAGACAATGCGGATATTTTTTATCAAATGCTACCAGTATAAATGTTTTCTTCCGTATCTTTATTTAACACCATAGCTACAAATCCAGAAAAACTATTACTTGAGTGCCACCATAGGTATGCGGTAAATATATAAATCTTTGCACCGCTAAATACGGACAGCCTATATAAACCAATGACTTTACCGGTATGTTTGATAATGCTATTTTGCGGTTTTCTCAACGATTTTAGGAATGCCACTGACAATATGGTTAATTTTTATGCTATTTTCAGCCAATTTAATATCAACAACCGCTGAACTTTCAAAACAATCGTTAATAGATCTGTTTATATTTCTACGAAAATTTAGAAACTGTTGTACTTGATTAGAAAAATCATTCATAGATTTGGTCATTTCATCATTGATTCTTGTTAATGGTGTCATAATCGGGATAGATTGTGGTTAATGAATTCATAATGGGGATATTACTATCATCAACATATCTTTTTCTTGCAGGATCAAAGTCTAATTCTGACGTTCTGAGACTATTACTACCAATATTATTCCTTGATAATAGCATGCACTATACCATCGTTGACTGATAAGTATTTGGATTCTTGATTATCGACGTAATGTTGTTGAGGCGTGCGTATCTTCGTGTGGGTTTCTAAGGTTTATAATTTTATTTTTATTCATGATAATGTTGCCAGTGAATTAACCACCAGCTTTTATTGATATAATTGTTAACTGACTTACCGGAATCTTATATCTTACCTTGATCAGTAAAAATAACAATATTATTAACATCCGCGGTAGGAATACGTATGAGTAGAGCGGGAAGTTGTATATTACTTGTCTTTAATCGTCCTTGTTTATCCTGAAAAACAACGACATCATTTTGATCCACGCTTGT